TGAAGTCAGATAGCGAGAGGGTGAGAAGGAGATGGTGGACTGAGAAGAGGAAGAAGAAGAACTCTCTCTCTCATGTGCCAGGTACTAACCTGTGAAGATGGCGCTGTGCTGCAGGTACCTCAAAGACGAAGCTGGAGCGTGAGCTATGCTACCACACCCTGCCCTTTCCGAATTTTTTTAATCAACCCTAATTATTGGGGTGCGCCGCATCGCGTGCGCTATGCTCCACACGTGCGCAACTCGCATGGACGTGATGCGCCGCAAGTATGGTAAAAGGCGATGGCCTTGAGATATCATCATTGATGATTGAACTGACTGCGCCCGGGAAATAGTTACGGAAAGAGTAAATAGTAAATAGGCTACCAGCCGGGCCGGCCGGGTCACCCTATTTTCCCGGATGGCCCGGCCGTGCAAGGACCAATGAAGGTCCTAGCAAAAAAAAAAAATAAAAAAAAATCCAAAAAAAACAATGTTATGCAGAAAGACAAACCGAACATCTTTTGCCTCAGGGTCACAGTGAAATTCTTTACCAAATTTAAAATAAAAAATAAAGTTTTTTTTTTTTTTTTTTTTTTGGCCTGGCCGGATAAGTGGCCCCGGGCCACTCTGTGGTGTTGTGTTTGTGTGTGTGTGTGTGTGAGTTGGAGGACACTACAGCCATGCAGGGGTGGGGTGTTTATCACGACCGGGATGGACTCGCTTTTGTACACTGTGCCATGGCTGTAGTGGGTAAGAGACTCGGCTCTTGAGGCTGAGGGCGCCGGTTCGAATCCGTGCTTGCACGGAGGATGTTCTGTGGCTGATAAAATACAGAATGACACTTAGCCTAGGTAAATACAGAATTATTTTGTTTTTTTTGTTTTTTTGTTTTTCGGTGCAGTGATCCTTCCGATTGATTGAACCGGTGAAGTGTCTGGATCACGGTGGTCTTGGCGGTTTGCTGCTGGGGGTGCTGTGAAAAGTTCATCGAACCTTGTCATTTTAGAGGAAGGAGAAGTCGTAACATGGTTTCCGTAGAATTATTTTATTCTGTTCAGTGGCCGTCTGGATTCGAACTCGGGTCTGTATTTCAACAGCTCGTGGTAGTACCAACTGAGCTAGGCTCGCCAAATGATGGCTCTAGTTTTTGCTGTTGATGTCAACCACAAAGTGTTGCATCTGATTGCTTCTGCATGCTCCCTTGTTTTCATTCTGAAGACACTGCCTTCACTGAACCTTATTGCAACTCTCTCTCTCTCTCTCTCTCTCTCTCTCTCTCTCTCTCTCTCTCTCTGTGTGTGTGTGTGTGTGTGTGTGTGTGTGTCTGTCTCTCTCTCTGTCTGTCTGTCTGTCTGTCTGTCTGTCT